GATTGTGTGGGTGGGTAATTCCGTGGACCCTGTGGGAGTGGTTAAAAGTGAAGTTCTTGGTATTGGCATTCCATCTGAAAATTATTCACCTGCAGCTCACAGATGGTCACCCTGATGCAGGATAGGGCTCCATATCAAGGTGACCTAAGTAAAGAATCCTGGCCACCGTTATCTGTCCAGCTGTGTGACTCTGTCAAACTCTTGAAACTCGCAGCACCTCTATCTGTCACCCACTGTGTACAGAAGACAATGACAGTGCCACACTTACAATGCTGTGCTGGCTGGGTTTTTTTTTTAAACTGCAACTGAGCAATGCAGAACAGCTTGTGTTCATAATGAACTTTCCAGCTGTATTTGTAGAAGACAGATATTTCATAGCAGATGCTTTGTGCAGCCAGTGAATGAGGCATGAGCAAGTGAGGCTGGGCCTGCATTGGACCATGGAGTTACCCTACTGGTGGTAGAATAGAATTGAAATGTACCTGTGGGGTTTTAATTCACGAAGCTGACTGACCACTCACACAGAGGCAGATGCTATTGGAAAACAAAACAAAACAAAAACTATCTACTACTTACCTCCTTAAAACACGAAGGGATTGCCTCAGTGGGCTGAGCTAGAGCAGTGGAAGTGGGGTCGGTGGTTTTGGCTGGTGGCAGAAGGTAGACCAATGGGAACTCCACGGCCTTAGCCTTCGTGTGTGGTTGAGACAACGCTGGCAGAGTACTGTGTAGAATGAGCTGACTTGAATACCTAAAGCAGACATTGTTGCTTAGGACCTTGCCCAGACTTGGGATGCTTCAGGGAAGAGAAAATACTGTGTTGGAGTGTAAGGATTGGAAAGAGGGGTGACTGGATTGCATACAAGAGATGTGGTCAGCAGTAAGTTGCTCATTGTCTGCAGGAGGTAGATAATTCTGGGAGGGAGTGTCTTTAAGATCCCCAAAGATTTCAAAATATTATAAAGTACCAAAAATCCTACCTTGAAGTATATTATTAATAATAACACAAACACCCAGATTACATAGAGTGGGAAATGCACAGACTGGGAAATCACCGGCTCTTTATGCTTTCCTATTCCACTAGACTGTCTCTTCTCAAGTGTTTTCTTTTCTGGTCTAATTGCCTCTGTGATTGGATCCATGGGTGTCAGCTGCTGTGAGATGAGCCACTGTGAAAAAGTCTCAGGGAAGGACTTGGTAGGTTGAGCCTCAAGTCACATTTCATTTCCGTCATTGAACTCTTCAGTCATGGCCAAACACCAAGGTCATGGTGAACAGATGTATTCTTACGTGAAACAAATAGTTGGATTTAGAAGAGGAACAATGAACTGCTCTCTAGGAAGAGAATTGACATTCTCAGAAAGAAAGGACTGTAGAGTTTGGGCTGGAATAAAGTGATAGACAAGGTGCGTGAGAAACTTTGTTAGCCCTGAAGAGCGCAGAGGCCGCATCGGGACCAGTGATTGCTAGCCCTCTGCAGGAGGTGCACCGCTGACAGTTTCCCTACGTTGTACGCTCAAACATCCGCGCAGCAGTGATCAGGGAACACTTTGATCAGGACAGCAGCTGCCGCTTGAGCTGTCTGTCCATGCAGCAAACATAATGGTACCATGCCCACTCAAGAACCAGGCCATCGTATTTTATTTACTTCCATTTGTGAGTATAGATTAGTTGTCCAGGAGAGCTTATTGTGACACGTCCGCACACGTACACAGCGTGCGCCAATCCGTCTCACCCCTCCATCAGTGTCCCCTCCTCACTGCCTGTTCTGTAAGCGATTCAGCAGCTTTCATGGCTCAATTTTCCCTCACTAGAATAAAACTACAGCCGCCATGCTTGCTTTCCTTTGCCTTCGTCAGCTCTCCCAACTCCTGCTGGTGCTCACCTGGCCATCTGAGCCTATTTTACTTAACATATACTGTAGGGAGTTACCCACATTATTCACTAATGATCTACATTATACAGAAGACCACCCAAAGTTAGACAGCTAGTGACTAGTGAAGCCAGGGTTCCAAAACTGGGACTAGGCGGGTATTTAGTATCAATTTAGTCTCCACATGCCACCATGCCAAGAGAAATTTGATAGTACCGTTAAATAGGTTGCAAGTGATTGCTATAATTCCATCCACTGTCACTTGAAAACAAACTGTGTATTTGATTACCAGCTATGTCACTCATTTAATGCCTTCATGAGTCCCTGCAACACCCCCATTTGAGTCCTCAGCCCACTCCATTCTTCCTATCCTGGGTCATCCTCTATGACTGGTTCCTTGCAGTCAGTAGCTAGAAAACGGAGAATGTGTCGTGTTTAAAGGACGGGAAGAGACATTCCATTCTGAGTCAGGGACACGCATAGCAATGTTCTCATTAGCTTTATCCAGTTCTGACCTGAGCGCTTGCACACTATTTCCGTTAAACTCTACAGGGTGACAGTGTCACTTACAGGCAATGCAGAAGACAAAAGGAGCCGACTATAGCCAGCAGGTTGGATTGAGTCATATACTCTTCTCCTTGCAATTTCTAATGATCTAGAAGCAGAAAGGGAGTGTGCTATCTTTTTCAGTCTCTTCAAAACAGTTGTATGAATGAATTCAAGAAATTAATTTGTCTTAGAATTAAACTTATACCACTCAATTCTTTTTTGAATACAGGGTCTTGCTTCTGCAGTCCAGGCTGTCCTCAACCTGTGGAGACTAGGCTGAGTTCAAGCATGCAATCTTTCTGCCTCAGCCTCCGAGTGCTGGGATTATAGCACTGGGATCACTATTTAACTTTTATGACAAATTATTACAGTTTTTTAATATAGTTTACATATTATATAAACGAGCTAGCTAGGTTTAGGTTTAAGTCTTTCCCAGGATGATTTCAAGACTCATTTTCCAGTCTTCAGAAGCATTTGTGACTCCATCACAAAACTCGATCATGAAGGAAGGCTCATGTTTAGTGCTGATTTGTTCAACTGTGGGCAAGTGCTCAGTCTCTACTGAGAGCCAGTAGCAGGCCAAGAGCTGCCTGCCAAAGGGAGAGCAGATATCTGAGGCTGAGGGCAGGGGCCTTGCTCCCATATTGCTTCTGCTGAGAGCCATCTGTAGCACGTGAAGGCTCCAAACAGCATCCCTGCTTGCCACAAGTACCATGGGTGGATTTACTGGATCAGATGGCCAAATGGAAGAGGAACCTCATGGCATCCTGGACCCAATACAGAGCCTTCTTCTGCCCTGGGCCCCACACAAAGCTAGATCTGTAGGTCATTTAGTAGTTGGGCTATTGTAACACACTCAAATGAAAATGGCACACCACTCCAAAATCCAAATAGGCCCACAGGAATTGTGTCTCTTTCTCAGTAGCAAGCAGTGAATAGTAGATGGGTCAGTAGTAACATTTTCAACTTTATAAGGGATCTACTAACATGCCCACACCACTGAATCTCTTGCCCCTTCTAATCCCTGGTCTTGGGACTAATCCCAGGTCCCTATTTCCCACAAACCCCAAATTGGGAGTTGCTTTGGTTTTTACTGTTTTTCCAAGCGAAGGCAGCTCTAATGGCTTGCACTTGGTCTTTCCACTAGCAGCCATCTCTGGACAGGGAAAAGAATCCATGTGGGGTCTCTGCCAGCTGCTCCATCTGAATATTCTAACGATGCATTCCAAGAACTGGAGAAATGGCCACTAGATAGGCTCACGAAGACCTCACAGAAAGTCAGATGTGAACTCAAAGCCCATCGATCATGCGACCTTTCTCAGCACCTATTCTGACTAGAAAGGCCACAGCGACATTTCAAGTCTCCTAGAATTAAAGTCAGCTCAGAGTTATTGTCCACCAAGCCTGGAAGGATCTGATTATTTTCTTCTCCCATATGCACAGTTAGTGTGTAAAAGGCTTTAGGTTCCTTTCAGAAAGGATGGAATAAGTATGAAGAAGAATCCTAGCACACTAGGATTCTTCCCTCTCATTCAAGAAGTTAATTGAGGGACCTAATCCTCTGTTTTTATGATTCAAGTTAGATTTTTGTTCACTCAACCTGAATGGTTTTTGTTTGTTTCTATAGATCTAGTAAGAACTTAGCAGACTACCCAGCTATTTCTCTTTTAGAAGCACCAGGACAAAGTACCCACATCATAGATGAACATGAGTCAGAATATTCTCATTTCCACTGTCCATTACGGTAATTCCAAGCTTTGGACAGATGGCATCTGGGACCCAGTTGTTCACATTCTTCCATGCTATGGATAACTGTAGCCTGGTAAGACCTTTTTTTACTCCTGTATGGATGCCCGTGGAATAGGAGATGACCAGTTGAGATTGTTAAACAATGGGGATGTTTCGTGCTGCACAGTATCACCACCTCCATTTGTTACTGGATTGGGTATAGCAACCTGCCGCTAACACAAAGGATGCCAAATTGGGAATTGATAAAGAACTGTGGTCTCGATCAGTTGTTGTTTCTGTCTAAAGATGGATATGAACCCCAGTTCTAGGGATCCCTTGGTAAATCAACTCTATTGTCCTCTACCGCCCTCTGCTGGCTATCATTGGCATGCGGTGACCTCAGCACACCTTGTCAGGAGTCCGCTGCTTTTTTGTGAGAGTGGGAGGTTCTGAACCCAGTATGACAAGCTAAACCAAGTCTCTGACTACCTACATCAGTGAGTTGTTACCGCACTGTCCAGGACAGGTCTCTGGATAGTGAGATAATGGACAGGACATTCGGTGGGCCTCTTGTGTCCATTGTCATGCTCAGACTGGTAGCGCCCTAGAGTGGTGGAGTAAACTTTTCCCTCTCTCCCTTCCTCCCTCCCTCCCTCCCTCCTTTGCTCCCTCTCTCCCTCCTCACTCCCTCTCTTCCTTCCTTCCTTCCTTCCATTCCTTCCTCCCCCTCCTTTCTTCTTTCATTTGCCAGTGGCCCTGGCAAATGAATACAGGAGTCGCCAGCAGCTTATCTGTGGATCAAGACATTGCCTTACACTTAACAGCCAGTAGCGTCTGTCTGCACAATCTGCACCTGCTTGTGTAAACACAGGTACACCCCTCAGTGTGGGCATTATTATTTATCTGTGGATGGTGTCATATGGGTGAGGTAAGGTTTTTCCATTGTGTTGGACTTTTATTTTCTTAGTAGTGCTTGGGACTGAATCTAAGACTTTGCACATGCTAGACAAGGGTGCTACCACTGAGCCACACCTTCAGCCTTGATTGTTTTATAAATGGTTTGTGCATATTATTTGAACAAAGATCATTTCTTTTTCCAAAAGGAAAACAGGAACTAATGTGATATGTATGCCACGGAGCTGGGACCCACCCACCCCTTCCAAGGGCAGCGGCTTGGCCTATGCATGCCTCCTATCTGGGAGCTCCTGGTCCATGGAGCTGCAAGCCGGATGTGCTGGCTCCATCCGGTTTGCAGTCCTAGCTATGTGCGAGGTGGAGATCAGGGGACCAAGGTTTGACGCCAGCCTGGGCAAAAGAAAAGTTTGAGAGACTTCAACCAATTGCTAAGTATACTGGCATGCACTTGTCATTCTAAGCAACATGAGGAAGTACAAGTCGGAAGATCATGGGCACGACCCTAACTTGAAAATAACCTAAGCAAGAAGGGCTGGAGGTGTGGCTAACGTGATAGAGCACCTACCTGACAAGCACAAAGCCCCGAGCTCAATCCGCAGTGCTAAAACAATAACAACAAAACCAGTAGAGATTGCAGGCGTTATGCTATGGAGAATCAAACTCAATTACTGTAAATCTTTTTCGTTAATGTGAGATGTGACAATCAGGAAAAATAGTTAAGGGATGATTTTCTTTAAATGTTAGGCTCTAGCTGGCCTCCTTTGTCCACATTTCAAATTGCTCATGCACAGTTTAATGAAAATCCATTTTCACATGTGTATAATACAAGTACATGCAAAAAAGTAGCGCTAGCCTGTAGAGGTTTTCGACTATGTATTTTGCAACCTAGATTGTTACCCAAGAAAATGTTAACTTCAGAGCTGAAAAACTGAAGACCTAAAAAGCCAGCTGGATTTGAAGTAGCAAAATGCCGACACTGGTTTTGTACTAGCTCAGTACTGTGAACTCTGTAATACCAGGAGACTAGTGCAAGAAATAGGTAACACAAGACCACTGGTCACCATCAAGAATTGTGAAGTCTCTGGGTCTACTCAAGGAAGCCACGAAAACACTACATTTTCCAAAAAATCTCCTTTTTATTGAAATGAACAAGGACTGTGATCCGCACATGAAAAAGACCTGATAAGAAGCTGTACCTTACGTAAATGTTGACTTTGATTTGACCAGTTTTTCATTGCTGATCACTTTTGAAAAGGTCAGTTCCAACATGAAAAATGCACAGCACTGACTCTGAGATTTCCTGCATTTTTTTTAAAGGACCAGACTCAAAGGCTTCATTCATAATGGATACCAAATCAAGGGGTAATGACAAGATCATCTTGTTAGCATCCTCACTAATAATCAGATGATGCTCTGATTAATTCCCACTCCTTCAAATCAGAAAACTCCATTACAGCATACACTGTGATTGGCATCTATTAAAAATAACCGCAGTTTCTGATGAACAACGCTGCTTTCTCTTGAGATACCTCTCTGTGTTGAATTTGCTAGTGGAGTAAAGCCCATTTCTCTACTAGCGAAAGCAGGTTTCTGACTGCATTTTGCATTCTATTTCCAAGCACCACAAATCATTGACAGAGCAGATGAAAACCCAGGAGGATTGCCTCAGGTTACAAGGCATAGGTTATTTCCAACAGAACCAATAATTCCATAGTGACCTCACTTAGAAGAAAATTTATAGTATGACTCATCTGTTCAAAAACACTCTGACTGTGGTAGAAGGTATATGTACAACTTACTAGACACAAAATACATCTTTCTTGTAAACCGGGATATGTTTAGCACACTCCACATACAGAAATAAGTTCAGAGCCCAGCTTTCACGTCTGAAGTGCTGACTGACAGAACTACATCCAATGGGGGAAAGAGGGCACCTCAGATGTCTCAGTGTCTAAATACAAACTCAATGTATAAAAAAGGTAAACAGGAGGAGGGGATATGACCCTTGAACAGTGATGGATACGTGGGCCATACACATGGCGATGTTCATTCCCAACAAAGTACCGCCCAGGGACCCATGGCACTAATGTTCTATACACCCAAGTCACCATGGCCTCACACCCCCTTGCTTTGGAAAGTTCTTGTAGGCCCAGAAACTGTCACAAGTCTATGATCTTTTCCATTTTTGACTGTCTTGATGCTGAAATGAAAAAAAAAAGGTTAATGTTTTAGAAACTGGCTTTGAAACATGAAAGAAACCTAGGAATTCATAAGCCTAAAATGGTTCCTATTAGGATTCCAAGAGCTACAGGAAAGACAAATTTGTTTAAGAAGCACCTATCTTGGGCCCATCTGTTTGGTTCATCTCATTCTAATTCCACAACACTCCAGGCACACGGTTAGTGGCATAGAGACTGGAGGTTATTTTTTTTTTTACTATTAGTTAAAAAAAAGAATGAGTTTTTATGATATACATATGGATGTATCAATGTATCTATATATAGAAACATATGTCATATATATGGTCTCTATAGAGCTACATATGGTCATCTATGTATAAATAGTCACATACAGAATCCTTGTGTTCCATATAATTATATTGCATGATCTATACATTCATGGAGATTTTCCATTGACTATGGTAGGATTAGCTATGCTATAGTCCTATAAATTAGCTATGTGATAGCCCTATAAATTCTCTAAATGAAAGCCTCAAACTTACCTCAAGCAACTTCAGCTCCAGCTGTCAAAATCGTACCCCGCTAAAAAACAAACAAACAAACAAAAAATAACGATCACACCCTGACCAAGCTGCAGTATTACCACCTCTAGGCTAAGCCGGATGTGAGTAAGAAGAACAGATAAACGCACACCACACCTCAGAAAGTTTGTCAAGAAAACAATCTGCCTGATGAAGCTGGTTCTTCTAGCTTCTGCTTGTACTGCTTTTATGAAGAGGAGGGCAGAGGAGACAAACTATGACACAAGAACTGTGCAAATGCACCATCTAAGGTTAATGGGAAGAGGTAAGGACCCCGAAGAAGAGAATCGCCACATTAGAAACTGGCTAGCAGTGGCCGATGGGCGTCTGTCTCAGTGGGCTGTCTGGGATCTACCTCGAGAATCAGGAGGCAGGAGCAAAGGGCAGCTTGCTGGGATCTTGTTAGAAGCCTGTTACTGTGAGGCCCAGGGCACAACCAGACATGCATGCACATGTCCTCTGTGTCCGTCTCTGCGGTAACCATCAGCCATAGCCCTACGTCCAATGAAATTTCCATATGCCCCATGGCTTTGACAACCAAAAAAGTGAGCATCAGCAAGGAAGATGGTGGACTCCACCTAGAGGATGAGCGGTTCCTGTTCGGACACACCCTGCTGGCTGTGACTGGGGGGATCACAGCCTCTCTGGACCTTAGGACACGTCACAGTGCTGGCCGCTTCTCACTCTCATCTTTGTGCTCAGTAACGAAGCCAACTCTTTATTGAGGGGCTGGGGACCCTGGGGGAAAGGTGCTAGTGAAATTGACTCAGGGCCCTACTTCCGGCCCCAGCCCTGGGTCTTGGGCTGAATATTATGAAGACTCTGGGCTCTGGTGGTCATCTCTGAAGAACATGGACCTTTGACTTCCTGGGGGTCTCCAGTCAGTGTACCCAACCTCACCCTGGAAAAGAAGAGGTTCTGCAGACCTCAGAGCCAGGAAACGAGTGACACAAACCAGTTCAACTAAGGCTCATTCTGGAGGCTTCTGGAAAGGGTAGCTGCTAGCAAGTTCAGGCCATAAAGATATGGGGCTCTGAACTCTTAACTCCCAGTACAATACAATAAATAAGGGCGTGCAAGTCGAGGTCCTTTTTCTCAGAGCTGACAGCCCATCCTCACAGCTGCCCTGGCCAGTCAGCCTGCATTCACCCTCAAGATCGCAGCCAACACAGGGCTTGGGGAGCTTAACCACAGCGGTCAGCGAACAGGATCTGCCACGGATCCACTTCCCAAGAAGAAAGGCCCCAGGGCTCAGTCTGTGAGTCCTTCCCTTGCAGGAGCCCAGTGCTCACCAGTTCCTGCCTGAATCCAATCACACTTTGAGCATGCACTTGCCAGTCTCCAGAACACTGAGCAAGAGGTTTCTGTTGTTCATGGGCTACCTCTTTGGAGCACTGTGTTTTTATAGCAGCCCAGATACACTAGGAAGGCAGCTTTCCTCCAATTGACTATTGTGGTTGTGGTTTGTGCAGTGTTCAAAGTTGTAAGGTGGGCAAAGTCTTTTAGCCTTCTGAAAGGACAAATTTCACACAACTTTCTGGCTCTGCACTCCTTGACACCTGATAATGGCGGAGCATTCCCCGTTTGTAGGCAATGTTGCCTAGGCTTGCTCTGGGATGAGGACAGGTAGACAGCCAGAGCCAGGGGCGTCCCTCAGCGTGAGCTCTGTAACTGGACGTGTCCCATGTGCACCATGGAGCTTTAAACTCAAGGCGGATCCTCTTGCACCAGTGTTAGACTCACTCCTTTCCTCCTGAGATATTTCTCTTGGAAAGCCAAAGCTCCCTGGCTGGGGCCAGCTGTGTGGACATGAAGAAAGACCACAACCACCAAAGCAGATGCTCCCTCGGATGCCCTGACTGGACCTTGAGTCCCTCCCTCAGCAGAAAGCTCCCAGGTTGACATGTAGATAGGAAGTTTGTGTGGAGCCTGAGAGGCGTGTATCTGACAGGTAATGCTCAGTGTTACCTGGTAAATATCCAGACCTATGTAATTCTAGAAAATACAAGTTCATAAAGAGGTAGGAGAAAAAGTTGGAGCTCTTTTTCTGGCTGATTATAGTTAAGTTATAGGGGAAAAAAGTAAAGAAGGAAGGGAAGGAGGGAGAGAGGAAGGAAGGAAAGGGCAGATTTTGAAAATCATAACTGCTTGTGTATCTGGTGCATTCCGATGCAAAGTGAAAGTTAATTAATTACGTGCATTGATCCGAAATCATACATAGCATTTAAAGATGACACCAAATTTGAGCCTCTGTGCCATTTTGTTGCTAAGAAATCCATTACAAATTTAAACTTGGGGCATCCTGGAATGCTATGTAGGACATGACTGGAGATAGCCATTGACAGAGAATCACGTAGGGGAAGTGAGACACCACAGCATGCAGGACTCAGTGTCAGACGGAGAAGAAAGCAGAATCTGTCTGCTACATGACAGGCATGCATGCACGCCCAGGCTTTGCTTTACCTTGCATGACAGGATTGTGAACACCATATAAATGATCTTTATGATAACCATTATTACCATTTTCCATACTGCAACGAAAATAAATAAACCAAGAACACCATGTTATCTCTGAGCTGAAGTTCTTTACATCACGGATCACAAAGACAAGGTAATGGTTATGAAAACTCGGTGACAACTTGTTAAATCCACAAAGAAGGTAATGGGGGTACTGATGTTTTGCTTCCTTTCAAAACCAAAGACAAAAATGACTAGTTTGTGGATTAAGAAATTTGGCATGTAAAATATTCATTCTATAGTTTCCTTTCCTTTCTTCTTTCTTTCATTCTCTTTCTTTCTTGCTTCCTTGCTTGCTTTCTTGCTTTCCTCTCTCCCTCTCTCTCTCCTCTTCTTTTCCTTTTTTTCAAGTTCCAGGGCTTGTTCAGCTTGCTTGCTCAATCAGCACTCTACCACTTGAACCACACCTCTAGCCCACCTTCTTGATGGTTATTCTGGAGGTGGAATCTCTTAGACTTTTTTGCCTGGGCTGGCAATGAAGCACAATCCTCTAGATCTCAGCCCTCTGAGGAGCGAGGATTACAGGCGTGAGCCACCAGCACCCAGCCTAACAGGTATATGTGCTGACCTTTCTTTTTAAGAGACATCGATCTATTTTTACCCAGATATACCTAGTGTTCTTAGCTAATTTTAAGGTAGTGTTCATTTAATTTTGCAAGCCCATGGTATCCTAAGAACCTCCCCCAACCCCTCTATGAATGTAGTTTAAAAATAAAAAAGCTTACTTTTTCATGGGTACAGTCTCAACACTACAAAATACAAAGGGGAGACAGGATTATGGATTACTGATGTTTTGTGACTATTAAGCTCATTAATACATCTTCCACCCACATCCTTACTCCAGAACATAAGCAAAGAGCACAGATGAGGAAGACATGCTCAGAAGATGACTGAAGTGAACATGAAACACACACATGCAACCAGACAGACAGCGAGGGATGGGCAACAGAGCCCACCGGAAAGCAGTAAGAACAGTTATCATAAAGTAAAATGCCAAGTCCCCGAGGGAGAGCTGTGAACGAGAAGTGAGAAGACTAGTTAAGGAAACAGAGACTCAACAGGAGGAAAACAAAATAACGTATTAAAAAACTGGCACAAGAAGATAACCAAACCCAACCACCTTTACAGAAATGATCCAATGTGTTAATAAACAACTATAAAGTCACATTTGGTGCGATCAATGATTATCTTTAGCAGCTCTCCAAAGACAGAATGGTACAGAAAACAAGGCCCCCTGTGGGGAGGCTTCCCCACTTACTTATCATAAATGTCCTCTGACTGCATTTGGCGATAGTACTTGGCCAACTTGACAGCCAAGATTAGAGCCGGAAGTAAAAACACAGTTGCTTTTCCTATGCCAAACCAGAACAAATTCTAGGGAGGGAGAAAAAAAGAAAAAGAACAATTAGGAGAATTAAATGCGTGAAGGTGTGGGGTGGAAGTGGAAGAATGTCTATGCTTATTTTCTTTTGTTGTTTTCTAAATGAGTTCTCAGTGTGTATGGGAGGGGGGTTATTGTGTGTGTGACCCTGTGTATGCCAGTTCTGAACAGAGCCTGGGCGCTGTTCTTGAGCTTTTCTGTTCAACACTAGAGCTTGACTCATACCTCTACTTCTGGCTTTTATTTTTTTTTTTGGCAGGTTAATTGGAGATAAGAGTCTTTCCTGCCTGCGGTGGCTTTGAATTATGATCCTCAGATCTCAGCCTCCTAGGTAGTTAGGATTACAGGCATGAGCCATTGGTCCCTGGCTTATCCACTGCTTTTCATTTTTTCCTTTTAAAAAAGAAATTAGGGAGGGAAAGACTGGGAGAGAGTGAGGGAAAGGGTGACACTGTCTGAAAAGTTGTGGACTCATTTCCTGACATCACTTTTATGGAATGAGATTCAAAATTCCTCAGAAGTGAAGCTGTGGCTCAAGTGGTAGAATGCTAGTCTTAAGCTCACGGCCCCAAGTTCAAGCTCCAGGACCAGCACAAAATTCCTTCACCCTTACCAATCAGAGGAGACCAAGCTCTGCGCAGCCAACATGAAGTATGACCTGTGGGTCTCATGCACAGGCTGAGCACTTTACCCTTCTCAACAACACCCACCCTGGCCTGCTTTGCAAACCTATAACCTTTAGGCTCGGGCAGAAGGTCAAGTGTGGGCCCATCTTAGGGTGATGTGTTAACCTAGACACCAGAGCAACTCTCACTGTCTGCTGTGATGCAGAACGAATTCTAACCACACAACAGCAGGTGCCCATTGTACTGCTGCTTGTCGGCTTTGCATCTGGCTGAGTATGTGTTTGCATTCAGTGACATATCTGGCACCTAATGTTTGAAAAATACTCCCTCTTCTCCTCATGTGTATTATTCATTTTTTGTTTACTTATTTATTTAGTGCTGGTCTAGGGTCCAGGGTCTTGAACTCAGGGCCTAGGCACTGACCCTGAGTTGTTTAATTTTTGTTTTGTTTTTGCTTCAGCATTCCACCACTTGCACCACAGCTCCACTTCCAGCTTTTTTGGGGGTCATTCATTGGAGATAAGAGCCTCATAGTCTGCCTGGGTTGAGTTGGAACCATGATTCTCACATCCCAGCCTCTCTGAGTACATAAGATTACAAGTATGAGCCACCAGTGGCTTCCAACATTTTTTTTTAAGTAGATTTCTATGTTTCCAACCTTATTTGGAGTCAAAGCTTAATGTGTGTGTGTGTTTTTTTTTTCCAGTGTTGTTTTGCCTTCTTTGGGAACCAGTAAGACTGAAAAGCAGCACAGTGGTTGGCCCAAAGTCCATGCTGCTGGTGAAAGAGAAGCCCAGAGCTCTTCCTTACTCATCAAACTGCCCGCTACTAAGTTCCAAAGCCTGAGAAACATTCAGTGTGCCCCCATCTGCTCCCAGTTACTGCCTTGCAGGGAGACGTCTGGAGTCAGGTGATCTGACTGGCTGCAGCGGGGGTGGACGACGGACCCAGGGAGACATCGAGTCAGAAGAAAAGCAAGTGAATCCAGGACTCCCCCAGACACAGGCCAAGAGGAGGGGGCTGGCAGGGAGCCAGGGCTGGGATTCCCAAGGAGGGGAGACTGGGTGGGTCCCTGCCTGCCCTCGGCCATGAAGTCTACTTCACGGAAGAACAAGGAGCAGGCGGTGGACAGAGGACAGAAAGGATGCCCAGAGGCCAAGCGGCTGATGGTCCCTCTGTCCTTCCCCCAGAGTGCTCTGTGCCAGGGCATCTGCCTGGTGATGGGAACGTGGCTGCCGGCCAGCAGGCCCTTCACTCCCGGGGTTCAGAGTCTCGCATGTGTTGGGGGTCAGATCTTGAAGAACCACACACATAATATTCTCCAGATCAGTAACATCTCTAGGGGAAAAGCAGTCTTCTAGGCATGGTAGGGAAGGGAGCCTGGCACTTTAGAGGATTAGAAAATCTCTGGGGGGGAAAAATCAAAAAGAGACTCTTGAACTGAAACCTGAAAATCACAGTTGTAGATCCATTGAGGTAACGAAGCCCAGAGAATTTCAATATATTTTTTTTTAATCATAGAGTTCAGAAAATGTACGAGTGAAATTTGAATTCTGGAATAAAGCTCATGGGTGAATGGAAGAAGAGGGGAGGAAGAGAGGGGGTGGGAGGGGCAGACAATGGAAGACAAGGAAGCAGGCTCCTGTTCAAACACAGGACAGGGCACGTGCAAAAGCTGTGGGGTGAGCAAATTCAGGTTATAAGTGAAAGGAAACAAGGATGGGGAGCACGGGGAGACAGGGAGGCCAACAGCACTAACTGAGTCCTGATTGGATAGATAGGGATCCGCTCACGTGGGGTTAGTGCAGCCTGGTAAAGGTTCTGGTATTTACTGTGGCAGCAAAGGGAGGAGCTTGAAATAGAGCAAATGAGCAAACGGGCCGGTGTGAGCCAATGCGGACCAAGGAGTAACAGAGCTGAGGAGTAGAGCTGAATTTACCACCACAGCCATCAGGCCCTGGGGCTTTTAAATAAAAAGATCAGCAAGTCACTGCCCAGCTTTGGGTGGCTGACAGTTCAGGCTGAGGTCCTTTCACGTACGAGGGATTGGCAGAGCAATGGCTGTCCCTCCTATTCCTTCCTGATGCTTCCCGGCCAACCAGAATTTTCTTCATGGTTGCCTCCTGACTTCTATAAAGCATGCTTTCTGCAAGGAACACTGATATGGAGACTCTCCTAGTCAAAAAGTCTAAATGTAATTTCCTGTTTATGTTTTGGAGAGAGGGTCTCATCATGTAGCCCCGGTCTGCATCAGCTGGGATTACGAGCATGTGCTCCTATGCCTAGATCAATATGAAAATCTTTAAGAGTTTGCCTTTTAAAACCAGAACGAATCCAAGGAGAAAACTTAGCATTGTGGTGTGTATTTTAAATCTGAAGGGGGCAAAAATTCGAGGATGACTTTAAACAAATATTTATTCTATCTCCTTTTTTGAAAGAGGCCGTTCTTACCAGAGGGTCCACAGTGTATCCACACAGAAAGACCTTGACAGCGGAATCCAGGGCAGTGGCCATGGGTTTACACGTTGCCATTTTCTCAGAGATCTAGGGGGTGAGCAACACCAACAAACGTTCAGGGAACCATACTCGCAAAAACCTATGGTCACAAGTCATCATTTACCTCTGCCCTGGGTTGAGAGGGGATCTCCATGTCTTCTAAGACACGTAGCTGACAGCTGAAATGCCCTACAGAAAACATTATCTACTTTACTGCAAGCCCCTCACTCCCCCACGCATGTCCAGCTCAGGGCTTCCATCCTGTTTTTCTTCTTCTTCTTCCAAGAGTATTGGAGTTTAAACTCAGGCCCTCAGGCTTATTAGGCAAGTGCTCTAGACCTCAGCTAACTTGCCCAACTGTTTATGTTGGACATTTTCAAGTTAGCGTTTTTCTTTATGCCTGGTTCATCCTGGACCACTATCCTCCTATTTCTTCTTCCATAAGTACTTCACATGACAGCCGTGCACCACCCATGATTTGAAAGGGCATCTCTCAAACTCCTTGCTGATGCTGGGCTTTGAATGGCATTCCTCCAAGTAGCTGGGGTAGGAATGAGCCACTGAACCTAGTTTCATGTGACCTTTTTGTTATCTGACAAAATAGGCAAGAAGGAAAGGAAGAACCTGTATGATACAAAGGTTTGAAAAAGGGTCAGAGGGAGGGAGGGGCTGGCCCCAGGGGTCTTGGTCTCTGTATTTCAAATTATTTCCACTTAACCTCCAACCAAAATGACTGAAGATGTAATCTTCTTTCTTTCTTTCTTTTTTTTTTGGTCTGATACTAGGACTGAGACTGGTGCTTCTACTCATCGGTTGGTGCTCTAGCAACTGAACCATGCCTCCAACCTCTGAGGATGCAATTTTATTTCTTTTAGCTTTTACCCCAGAAAATGACTCCCCTGAGATCTAGCTCCCCATTTCTGTCCATGGCAGATAAACCACTTACAGCAAACTTCACCCACTGCAGGTAATGTTCAAAGTATCCTATTATTGTTGTGACAAATTGCTTCGTCTCCTAGAAAGAAGTCAAAGATTAGACAAACCATTACAATGATGAGGACAATCTACAGCACTCTCTTTCATGAATGGTGGAGTGTTTGCACACTCACCCACGTGCTCATTTAAAAAGAAAAGAAAAAAAACTCACTTTAACAATAATAGAGGAAGTATTATTTGTGACGAAGTTCTGAGCAGAATCCAAATTGTATAGGATCTTGGCCACTTTGGTCTGGAAAACATGGCAACAGATCAGAGATAAAAGGATTTAATTGGACAATCTGCAAAGCAATCACTATGGAGATTGGATCCAGGACCCCCACTATCCTCCATACCAAAAAAGACTGAGCAGATGCTTATCTAAGATGGTGTGGTATTTTCACATGACCTACACATATCACTCATGTATTTTAAGTGTCTCCCGACGACTTATAATACCCATCACAATGTAAATATGTGTAAAAGTAGCTGCTATATTGTACTATTTATGGAATAATGACAAGAAAGAGTCCAGGTGTCCAGTAGAGATGCAGGTTTTCCGTGGATGCAGATTGGTTGGAGCCATGGAGGCAGAACAAAGTTACTGTTTGCTGACTCAAGCCCACAACACCATAACCCAGCCTGGGTCTCTGAGAGTAGAAGAGCTGAGCCAGACATTAGGTGAGTCCTTTTGGAGAATCACCTAGCTATCTACTCAGGAAGGAGTGTATCTCCTGTAGGTCAGTGTATCTAAAGACCTGCTAAGATGAGAACTGCATTTACAGAAGTACTTGTAGACAGGATGGTAGAAAAACTCAGTTTGGCATTTAAAATGGCTGAAACATTTGTCTATATAAATAAACCTCTCACATACTCTATTCATGATATTTGAGCTCAGAAGCCCAGGACAGAAGAACAAAATGGATCCATACCGGCAGTCCACTGGTTGTGTGTTGAAGGATCTGGACACTTTGCTGTAAAGTACTCTGGTGAACAAATGAAACAATGCTGTCAGGATTTGATAAAACATGTGTTCCTCTCCCCCAAACAGCCATCAATTCTGACCATACTCTCTAATGGTTGCCTTGTAGAAAACTAGACAAAACAAAACCCACAAGTAGCAATGGCACTTCACATCCCACTGTGTGTAAGAAAACCTGAACAAGAAAATCATGATACTTATTGGAAGCTTGCAGGTGTCCTTCGGTTAATTTCAATTGCTGTGAAAAGCTTTATGGAACAGCTTCTACACAATAAGTGTGATTTGCCTGAATTGTTTAGGTCAGAGGTGGCAAATTCATCTGCAAAAGGTCAGATAGTGAATATTTTTGGCTTTGGAGTCTACAGCCTGTCCCAGCTACTCACCTTTGCTCTGATAACAAAAAGCAACCATAGACAGTTTGTAAATAAGTGGTATGGATGTGTTTCAATAAATATTTACAAAAATTGGCAGTAGGCTGTAGGTTGTGATATGTTAGGTCTGACAAAAACCTAGGTTAGACTATAGATCCTAGCTACAAAATAATTTGCCTGTGTGTGTGTGTGTGAAAAAGAGAGAGAGAGAAAGAGAAAGAGAGAGCATGTTTCCCTTGCCTGATGATGCTAAATATGTGCTAGGTATAAACAAGGAACAAGGGATTACAATGTGCAAGACTCAAATTGAATAAACTTATTTCATTCAATGGATTAGGTTGAACGGAAAGACTCTGAAGCTCTAGTGATCTGGAAGTCTCATGGTGGGGGTGGGTGAGAGAATGAGGAAGGGAGGGAGGGAGACATCAAGGGAGTGGGGGGAGACCCAGATCCAGGTTCAGGTAGATGGATTTGGATTAAATGGCAAACCTGTGTGGCTGACCTAGTAACCCAGCACCTTTCCCCCTGAGACCTGCACACACGAGGCACAAGAATCGCTCCCCTGATGTCAGAAGTCTTTCATCTCCACGAACCAGATAACCACACTGTGGGGGACATTCCCACCAATTATGCATTTAACTTTTCCCTTTTTAATTTTAGCTGAGGAAACTGAGAAGTAGGCATATGTGGAGAGGGAGAAGCCCAACTTGAAACCAGGTCTCTCCGACGCCAAAGCTCTTGCTGTGTCTCGACTCCAAACGGCGTACATGGCGTTAACGGGAGAAAGCAGGAGGCTAGAAAAGGAGTGGGGATGGAAGGGCGAAGAAAGGACACAGACAGCCACAGAGCTAAGAGGACGCAGGAAGACAAGCACTTACCCTCACTTTCATATATTTCTAGGCAGAGTTTGGAGAGAAAGAATGAAAGAACAGGTGAGAGAGGGCACAGAGCAAAATCATCCATGCAGGGCGAAAACACCAGGCCTAGGAGGCCTGCTAGCAGCAATGGACACTAGAGCAAGGTACGGGAGAGGCACAGCTCAAATCCTACTGGCCACAATCGCGTGGGGAAAAGAAAGGGACTAAGAGCTGGGGTGGCCATTTAGGATCTGTGTTCTTTAAGGCACAAGTCAATTTCTGAGGCCAAGGTCAAACATCTGGAATCCCCAGTGCAGCCTCAGTGAGTGCTAAGTAGCTGTAAGTGGTTTTGCTCAGGCCACAGGGAGCTGCCGTAGGCTGTTGACCGTTACCAGTGATTGTTCCATGGGCAGGACTTGATGCTGGTAAATCGTTCTGATAGTTTGTGCTTCCGTTTTCAGGGACTGTCTCAAACTTCCTGAGGACTATAAAGAGAAGACAATAAGGTTGATGCCCTCTTCAAAGCCACAGGGGCCCCGGAATGACATAAGCACATGGTCCACGCTGGGCAATCATGGCACAAGGAGACACAGGTGCTGGAGGTGGCGCATGCCCAGAGGCTCTGGTTCAAATCACAGAACCACGGCCTCACAGCAATCCCTCACACCCTGCAGCCCTTCTGAGTACCAGAGTCTGTGCCAGAGTAAACAGAGTCTGTCTCATCAGGATAGAGCCTCTACTGGGCTGTTTTACAGATGAGAAAACCAACATCTAATGGAGACCTGTTTATTTTAATCCAACTGTTCATGTAAGTGGTGTTGGGAGTATCGACGCTAAGAGTTCCATAAGGTCGATACCACTGCTCCATTTTACAGATGGAGAAACTAAGACGCAGAAGGGTGTCCAAGATCCTGCCATTAGGCAAAGGCTAAGTTAGAAAGTTAAACCCAGGTCTCTCTCCAGAACCAGGTCCCTTGTGACCGTGATTGCTGATTCTTGGAAGGGACCCATGAAGGCACCAACCAGTAGAGCAGATGAGGGGCCGTTTATGGACTCCAGTGGTGTGTCCTTACCTCCTGTGCCCTCTTACTATTACTATCACCATAGCCTGAGTTACCATCCCCTCACACGCCCAGAGAGATGCGGCAAAGAAAGGCTAGGCTCCAGCAGTCCAGAACCCCTGCAGCAGTTTTCTGAGCAACCACTACAACAGCAATGAAATTAACTAGACTATCTGAACTCACCAAACGGTTTGCTTCTGCTTCTAGTATAGATGCAAATCCTAAAAGATTCGTTTTTACAGGGGATTTATCAGCCTGCAAAACAGGTTAAGAAAACTGTGTTATAGACATGGGGGTTTTAAACCTTAACATGTAGTAGGCAGGCAACAGATTGAACAAGGGTCCATAATCACAAAGTAATAAAGTTAGAAATTCTCACATGGGAACATTGACATTTTTATCTATACGTTCAGGATCAATATTGTTGTTATTTCTGTTATCATTATTTGGCAGTACTAGGTTGAACTCTTACTACAAGGCTGGCACTCTACCACTTCACACATGTCTCTAGCTCCACACAGATTATGTTTATTCAACCATGAAAGCATACTGAAACAAACCTCAAAACCACATCCAGAGTGAAAGAAGCTAGACATAAAAGGTGACAAAGTATATGATTCTGCTTATTAGAGAGATTCTAGATAGGAGACTCCAGAGAAAAAGACCATGCACTGGAGGGAGGTGGTTAGGAGTTAGCAGCAAGTACTAATGGATACCCTGGATTCTTTGAGGTGATGAAAATACGTTGCAATTAAACATAGTAATCGTGTGACTCTGGGAATATACTAAATGACACTAAGTACTCTTTTTTAAGTGGTTAGTTTTATGTGAACTTCCTTTAAGTAAAAAAGATATCTAAGCCGGGCACTGGTGGCTCATGCCTGTAATCCTAGCTACTCAAGAGGCTGAGATCTGAGGATCGTAGTTCGAAGCCAGCCAGTTATCTCCAATTAACCAACAGAAAACTGGAAGTGGCACTATGGCTCACATGCAGAGCATTAGCCTTGAGCTGAAGAGCTCAGGGACAGGGCCCAGGCCCAGAGTTCAAGCCCCATGACCGACAAAAAAAATATTTTTTATATAATCTATATTTTATACACATATTTTATTTATATGTACTATTATATAATATATATTTTACACTATATATACATATATGAAATATAGGCATTCAATACCCCTGCATCACACATGCACACTTGAATCATACCTGAGCCAAGTAGGTGTCATAAGCTAGCTTATCTACCCCAGATTCAGCAAACTCCTGGAGATTTCTTCTTCCTGCATCATCCAGCAATGTGATGCTATCAAGACGTAAGTTGAGATTTTCAAATTCTCTCATTATGTTTCCAGTATGCTGCACAAAGCAAAGGGTACAGAGCACTCTATTATTGTCCAAGAATGTCACATATTTCATGGTCAACAATAAAAGCATACAGGACAAAAGTAGATACACATGCACAGGCCTGACTGGCATGCATTTCTTCCCTACCTCCTTCCTCACACTCTATGGCAAGTGCTTTTCCAGGAGGGGAGATGGAAAGCAAAGTAAGAATCCATTTCCACCTTGGAAACCTCTAAGTGAAGGGACGATGCTGTCAGGAAAACAAACTTCACCAATGGGATAGGAGAGAGAGAGACAGACAGACAGAGAGAGAGACAGAGACAGAGAGACAGAGACAGAGACAGACAGAGAGACAGAGAGAGACACAGAGAGAGAGAGAGAGAAGGGGGAGGGAGAGAAAGAGGAGGGGTAGGGGAGGGAGTCATGGAGAAAACAGAGATGCTGAAAGGAACAGAATGACCAGCAGAATGACCAGCATAAAACTGGGTAGTAGGAAGACACAGAGATTATCTCCTGGGAAAGTGTTTCATTAATTTGGTAAAGATCATTGAACTGTGGTCGTCGGCTTGGAGCTGTCCTAACAGCCAGACAGTACAGCGTGGACACCCTGAACGTCCCAAGTGGCACTTTCAATTGCTACCCAGTATGGCACAGGGAAAATGGCCTTAGCATGCTGGGCAAAAGAAGTAGAGGAAATCTAGCTAGGATTGGATCGCACAATTATGTTTTATTTATGGACCTTGTTAAGGATTTAATAAAGATAATCAATACAAAGTTTATATACAGCTTTCACACAAACACCTCCACATTTGAAAACTGCAAAGCCACCATTGTCCCTTGGCTCCTCCAGCGGCCTCCAGGATGCATGTCGGGCTTGGGGAGCAGCCCTCCCCCTTGGTCCTGCTTGGGTTTGCTTTCATTTTGGAGGCTTAAAAGGGGCCCCAGGCATGAGGAGCAGGACTAGCAGCAAACCAGACCTCAGTAGTGGCAACTCTACCGCTCTCTCTTCTATCCAGTGTGCCCCGGCATCCTGGAGTCACAGTGGGATTCATTAACAATTAGGACAGTGTGAGTGATACTTCTCTGCCTAGTTCCCTAATTCTAGAGCCTGGCAGAAAAGGAGAGATGATCTTGGAGTATCAAACACCCGAGAAGCAAGCGGGAATGTTCCTAGATGAATACATGCCCTTCAGGAAGTGAAATTTTTTTCTGGAAAGCATCCTAAGTTGAGGACCTCATCTACCAGACAAACCACAAGCCGTATAACATCATGAATAAACGACATCTCATTTTAAAATGGTAGGTTTCACAGTGACATTAACAAAGAGGAAGGAAGACAACTGGATTTCATCACACAGGTTGTCAGGTCTGAGAAGGGTTCTGATGGCTCACCTGCTGGATGTTGAGATGATCGTCAATATTGAAGATGTGCTGAAGCTGAAGTGCGGTATAAACGCCTTTATCATTTTTGCAATCACTAGGGGAACAAACAAAGAAATTAAGGCCCCAGAAAGCAGCATGGCCACTTCCATACACTAAGAACATGCAAAGGTTCAACGCTGCTCTCTATGACACACCAGTGTCACCCGCGCAGGGCCCTGGCACCAGCCAGTCCTGCTCTCTTCGTCTGCTGTGTGAACTGCCCTATGAAGGGAACATATACAATAGGATTGACCAGCATTCTTCCATCTGTCTCCTCTGTGCTGTTTTCTGTAGTGCTGGGGTCAATTTTGCAAATTGGGAAAGAATAAATTCTCATCAAAGGAGCCTAAAATGGTGTGTGTGGAGGATGGGGAGGGTCCCCCGGCTGATGGGATAAGTCTTTGTCATCTCTTAAGACATGCATATCCTACAAAATTAAGAAAATGGAGGGCAGGGGTGGGGTTGGGGGAGGTGGGCGAGACTGTTGATGGGGTGACATTGATTAAGAGGCAATATTCATAAACTGTTTCGTTAAATAGCAACTCCTTTGTACAACTACTTAAAGACAATATCTATTAAAAAAAGACAAGACTGTCCTTGAAATGAGTCACTATTGCCATATTTGAGCATGTCTTCAAGTCACCTCTGGTCTTACTCTGGGTAGAAATAAAAGAGTCACTGTTCCAAAAGTATCCTGTGATTTGCTGTCAAATAATCACCTAACTACTTCCTACTTCCTTCCTCGTGGCTCAGAGCAGAGCCGGTGATCTGCTCACTCCTGAGTTCAGTTACCTATGGCTACAGACCAGCAGACCAGTAGAACCATTTCACCAGCTAGCAAAGGTGTATGATGTAAAGCAAGAGTGAGTCACCCTGGATTTTAGAATATAAAGAATTGAATATACTCTTTGGGCTTCAGACACTTTGCTAAAGGGCAAGACAATAAACAATAACAAAAAAACCTTCACCGTTTCTCTGGGAAAAATCTTAAACAATGTGGAAGACCCCAGTTCCTCAGGACCTAGCGATGGGGTCCAGCCACTCCTAATCTTAATGGATGACCTAGTCTTCAGACAAAACTCCCTTGATTTTCAGAGGTTGCCTGGTCTTTCCTGTGAGCATGGCCCTCCCCAAGACACATTCACTAATGGAGCTGAAGAGATCCTCGGGGGAAAATGACCCAAACCTTAGGCAGAGTGACCCACAATAGCAAACTTCTTATTCTGGCAGTGGGGGGTGGGGGGGACCTTCATATGCAGCAAAATATATAATGTGATCAGTGATACCTGTAAACTTGTTCAAAAGTAAGCTCAATATCTGAGCTACTGAACATCATGCCAGAAAGAAAATATTTCCAATCCTGATTTAGTAAGTAGGGGGTGTCCAAAACCTGGAACAAAGAAGAAAGTGCTTTTAAACAGTTTTATACCAACCTATGTATACACCATAAATTGAATATCTATTCAAACTGAGTATCACTATATCTATCTATAGATCTATAGATATAGATATATAATATCTATAGATATACATTTATAGATATCATATAGCGTGTGCATATGTATGTAGGTGTGTGTGCACATGTGCACATATGCTTTGACCACAGGGTCTCACTATGTAGCTCTGTACTGTATGTGTTTGTAGTTAACATGAGAAGTAATGTGTGTGTGCTTGGTAAATCCAGATTGAGTGTGTTACATCCAAAATGCTTGATACCAGAAATGTTGCAGACTTTTTCTGACTTTGGGAATATTTGCATAAAGATATATCTTGGGTTGGGACCCACATTTAAATGTGCAGTGCACCTGTTATATATATATATATATATATATATATATATACATACATATATATATTTCTTACACTACATGCCTGAAGGTAATTTTGTACAATATTTTTATAATTTGGTTCATGAAACAAAGTTTCATGATGAGGAATTTCCCATTTGCTGTGTCAAGCTGGTGCTAAAAAAAACTTCCTATTTTGGAATGTTTTGGGCTTCAGATTTTTCTGATCAGGGATGCTTAATATAAATAAATAATTTTAAAGAAGTAGAGCTATGGTTCAAGTGGTAACAATGCCAGCTTTGAGGGACAAAGCTAACCAACAGCATGAGGTTCTGAGTTCAACCCTGAGGATGAGCACGCACACACACATGGTTTCAAATGACTCAGCAGTGCCCAGGAGATAACGAAGCCTGGCTTGATGTCTTACTATTTTTTTTCTTAAGAGATCAAACTTGTGAATTAAAATCAGGTTATTATTGCTCTTGAACCACAAGATAGGGTAAAACCCAAATCAATTTCAAGACTTCCTACAATAAAAAGAAAATCAAATGTACCTGGAATAACTTCTTGTTTGCATAAGGTTCACAGACCAATTTTTCCATATTTGCTCCAATGACAAAAGTAAGAGTCACAATAAACATCAATATCCAGCAAAAGAGGAAACTTAATCCAACTCCACTGGGGGAGGGAGAGATAGAGAAAGAAATAGAGTTAGACATTCTCTATGGAATTATTTAACATTACGTACTAGGCCTTATGAATTCTACCCACTCGTTGTCTACAATGGACTGTGGTCTTCCATGTATCGCACATTAAATAGATCAGCACACTTGGGGGGGGGGTGAGGACAGGAAGGCCCTGGCCCTGTGATCTCTCTGTCCCTGGCAGGTATTTATCGTGAGCTTGATGCCAGTACCTGGCTGGCTGGCAGGATGGGCAGGAACCTAGATTCAGGAGTCTTCACTGTTAAAGGACATAGTCTATAGAGACTCCGTGCAGGAAAAGCACCCTGGAGAGTCTGAAGGAGCCAAGGTGGCTGTAACCGCAGGGGTGGCAGAGAATGGCGCAGCTTCAGAGGCAGTTGGGATGCACTAAATGGACCCTAGAAAGTCCCAGGGGCAGGAGGAACAACAGAGAGGCTTAAAGTATAGAGGAAATCCCACCGATTTCTCTCTGAACCAGAGCCCTTTTGGAATACATAGCGTGAAGAATGGTTGGACTGGGCCACAGGGTGGGGAATCACTGCACAGGCTTGGGGCTTGGGAAGGGGTATTGATCAGGCTGACGGTGATGGAGAGAAGCGAGTGGAGGAGAGAGAGATAACATGGGAGGCAGATGCAGCAGGCAACCCTGATGGTCTGGGCAGGAAGAGAAGATGGTGTGGGCAATGGTCGTGTGGCCAGGGAGCTCCTGCAGGAGATATGGTGGGAGGGTGAGACATGTGATCGGAGTGCAGAGAATATGCTAAGAACAGTCCTTTGTCTCTGGGACTGGAGGGGGAGAAGCAGCCTGTAACTGGCCCGGATGGGGGTGGAAAGAGAGCAACACACCAGGCCAAGGTGGAGAGCCAGGGAGACAGGAAGGAAGCCTGTGGGTATGAAGGCATCCATGGGGGAAAAAGAGAATCTGGGAAGGAAGGAGAGGGCACTTGCAGACCGCAGACGGAAGTGCTCAGCGGTTGCAACACCACTGGCCCTGCTGGCCAGAGGTCACTGCTGACTCCACAGAGGCGAAGTGAGAGTGGGAAGGGGCAGATTAAAGTGCATTGTGTTCTCCATGTTTATTGCAGCACTGTTCACAATAGCTAGGATATGGAAACAACCCAGATGCCCCACCACAGATGAATGGATCCAAAAATTGTGCTATCTATACACAATGGAATATTATGCAGCCATTACAAATGACAAAATAATGGCATTTGCAGGGAAATGGATGGAGCTAGAAGGAATCATGTTGAGCGAGGTAAGCCAAGAGCAAAGAGACAAACAGTACATGGTCTCTCTGATAAGTGGATGCTAAATCCAAAATGTTAGGTGATACGACAAAACTAACAGGACTTAAGAAACAAAGAACTCCTGCTCATCTGGTCAAACCACTACTAAATATCCCCATGCTGCTGATCACATGTATGGTGTATATGTGTACACTGTTATATGTTATAGACCGTGATAGACAATTTGCTCCAGGAAAGTTAGAATGAACTTGTGACTTTAAATGAGCATCATTATTCCACAATACTGTGAAATTTGGGAAATTATGTAATCACTTAATCACAATCAAAAAAAAAAAAGAACCTCGGGGAAGGTAGGGAGGGAGGGGATGGTAGGGGGAAAACAATGGAGGGGGTAACAATGCTCAATAGGAAGTGTACTCATTACCTCACTCGTGTACCTGTAACCCCTCTGTATAGTATCTTTACAATAAAAAATAAAAAAATATTAAAAAAATAAAAAATAAAGTGCATTGTGCTGCTGTGGGAGAGAAGGAAACAGATGGCTCTGTTGAGAAGCCCAATGCGCTGGTGGAGGAGGTGGTGCTGGTAGAAGTCCTGTTGTTTGTTTTTAATGAAGGGAGAGAACAGAGCACAGCTAGGTGTTGAGAAGAGAAGGCAGGGGAGGGGAAGAGAAGGAAGACAAGGGAGAGGGAAGGGAAGTGGTGGGAAAGAATGGGATCGAGAGCACTGTTGGTGGGTGGGCCTAAGGTGAAATGGCCGGAACCTGTCTGCCTCTAACAGTCTAGAGGAAAGATAGTGGGTTCAAAAGTGGATGTGGCCAGGCAGCGGTGGTTCACCCCTGTAATCCTAGCTACTCAGGAGGCTGAGATCTGAGCATCGAGGTTCAAAGCTAGGCAGGACAGGAAAGTCCGTGAGACTCTTATCTCCAATTAACCACCAGGAAACTGGACGTGGTGCTGTGGCTGAAGTGGTAGAGCACTCGCCTCAAGCTGAAGAGCTGAGGGACAGCGCCCAGGCCCAGAGTTCAAGACCCATGACCAACCAAAACAAAAACCAAAACAAAAAAAGTAGGTGTGTTGGGGGTTCAGAGTTCAAGACCCATGACCAACCAAAACAAAAACCAAAACAAAAAAAGGTGTGTTGGGGGTTTGGTACAGCTTTTGTTTCCACTGTGAAGGAGATAAAGCCAACTGCTGAGAAAAGGGGAAACGGAGGAGGATGAATGCATCCAGGCTGCAAGGATGATTGCAGAGGAGGGGGGAGGGGAGAGGTGGACCCTTGTAAAAGAAGGGGGAGAGTAGGGGGAGGAGAGAAAGGAAGAAGAAAGGGAAAGAGAAGGGGAGTGGAGGGAGAAAGGGGAGGACAAGAGAAAAGGGAGAGGAGGGGAGGGAAAGGCGGACACAGGGAATGCGTCGGAGTCACGAGCTCCTGAGGAGCACACAGAGCCCCGCCCGCCTCTCAGTCTGTTTCTGGCCCCATCTTTACATACAGCAGCTCACGGCCACTGCGCTTTGCTTCAACCTTCAGGACTGGAATAAAGGGTTCCCAAATACATGGACTTGGGTGTGAACGTCGTCACTCCGGCCTGCCACCGGCTCTCCATTCCTTATACCTCACCCTGCTCCAGTCTCTAGTTTAGGTGACTTGCCTGGGTTGCCAAACTCTGTTTCTAAAGCACCTTCCGAGAGTCTCACACTGGCTGTACTAATGGCCACAGAACGCGGTGTTCCAAGCCAGGCCCTGGTGGCCTGGGAGCTGGTGTAATCCTAGCTATTCAGGAGGCCGAGATCTGAGGAGCAAGATTTACAGCCAGCCTCCACAGAAAAGTCCCAGAAAGTCTCATAGCCAATTAACTAGTGGAGCTGTGGCTCAAGTGGTAGAGTATCATCCTTGAGTGAAATGAAGTGAAGCCCGAGGCCCCAAGTTCAAACCCCCAGTACCCTTACTAAAACAAAAACAAAATACCAACACAAGGTTAGCTGGGCTCCTGGTGGATGAAAGAATGAACAAACATAAAAAAGGAACAATGGAGACCCAAGAAAGTGAACTGCTTGTCATCGTCACTTTGAGAAGGAGCCCACTCTGTGTACAAAGTGTATGTAAGTCACTCCATCAAATGCAAGCACCTCAGAGCTTTGCATTTGTGTTGTGTGTTGTGCCTGACGCCAGCCAAAGGAAGGCAGCCCCACACTTCAAAAAGAGACACCGCCGGAACTCGAGTGTGTGGATCCCACGCACACGGTGAGCACGTGAGGAAGGAGCCAGCACTCACGTCATGAGGAAGATGCCTCCCATGTTGGACACGCAGCCTCGGGTGGTTGGGGTGGCGTGCCTGTCATAGCCACATATGCCACACAGCAAGCCCAGGTAAAAAAACAGCACGATGAGGCTCAGCAGGAAGCAGATGATCAAGCTGCTCAACCACCTGGTAAGGAAAGCCAACAGATTACAACAGTCACGTGGTAGCTTCCCAGCCCAAGAGTTGTGGGCTGAGGCTGGAGGACTCCACTGATTCTGGGGAGACTGGGGAGACTTCCATTTAGCTTGGAGGTGCTCTCTCTCTCTCTCTCTCTCTCTCTCTCTCTCTCTGCCTCTCTCTCTCTCTGTCTCTCTCTCTCTCAGTGGTCATTGTGTTTTATTTCCTTCCCCTGAAATGACTTCCACAGGGGGAAATACAGGAGACTGTAGCACTTCCTAAGTTTTTCTCAGGCATTCAAAGCCTTCCAAAATCCTTGATGCTGGAAGCTGTGGACAGATCGCCGTTTGTCAACAGAGAGAGAAACAGCAGGCTGGTCTCCAGGCCTTTCTCAAAAATGTTTTGTGATTGGCAGGAATGTTCTGGGGCACAATGTTCTTGAACCAGAGGGACTCTACGTGGCAGATGCAGAGGACATTTTGAATTTTATGAGCGTTCTAAATCAAATGCCTGCAGGATGCAGATCGCAATATTCTAATGGTCCTGTGAAACATTTTAGGGTAATGGCTCCCCAGTTAGGTCTTCCTGGCATTCCCAGACTGACACCACCATTTCCCAGAAACAAAGGAGCATGCAAGATAGAAGAAATGCTTCCCAACTTTTAAGATGCTTAAAAAAAAATTGTTCCTGCTCAGTGCCTCCCAACAAAAGCAAAAGCTTTCCATCCAATTAAAGCAACTTTGGTAATTACAATAAAAGCTCTCAGCAGCCAGTCTGTGGAGGTTTGTTCCAGATACTGGGGACAGAAAATGAAATAAGCCTGGGATCATGGCCTCAGCTAACTTTTAGAGTTAATAAATCAGACCATTCATTGGATTTCTTTTTTAAATAAGCTCTGGGCAAGGGCAGGAGAAAGGGGGAGTGGGTACCAGACAGATGACTACTAGCCTGAAACCATCCATGCTGCCTAAGCCCGTGGAGAACCCCGTGCTAGTTCATCTGACAGGATCCTCCAGATTTCTCAGGCCCAAATCTTTCCTCGCCCCATCCCGCATGGTCTATGTGAGATGACCACCAGCAGGCTGTTTTCTACGCACTGGCATGGCAGCTTCTCACCTGAGCTGCCTTCAGGCTACAACTAAGACCAGGCACTAGGCGTTTATTGTGTAAACCAATGAGAAGACAGTATTTTTCCAAATGCCCTTCTTAATTACATTTAATTACATTTCAATTTAAATTACATTTAATTACATTAACATCCCATTCCATGCCTGACTTACTAATTATAACAGATTCTAGGTGTCACTAATGACATCAAAATCGCAAACTATGGAATATCTGACTCAAGAATTGCCCACCTTCAACTTAAAAAAAATTAAAACAAATTTGTGGATCATCTTTTTTTTTAGAAGTCATAACAATCTTCACCATGTTGTAATTTTAGGAAATATTTCAACTTTTCCTTCTTTTTCTTTCTTTTCTTTCTCTCTCTCTCCTCTTCTCTCCATCTATCCTTCCCTCCCATCCTTTTTTCCTTCCCTCCCTCCCCTCTTTCCTTCCATTTCCCTACTTCCCTTCCTTCCCCTTCTTTCCTTCCTTTCCTTCCCCTTCCCTTATTTTCTCATTCCCTTTCCCTCTTTCCCTATCTCTTTCCCTTCCTCCTTCCCTTCCTTCCTTCATTTTTTTTTTCTGGAGCTAGTATGAGGACTTGAACTCAGGGACTTGTGATCTTGCTTGGTTTTTTCTGCTCAAAGCTGGTGCTCTTCTACTTGAGCCACACTTACAGTTATTTACTGTTTAATTGGAGATAACAGTCTCTTGGATTTGTCTGGCCAGACTGGCTTCAAACTGAGATCCTCAGATCTCAGCCTCCTGAGTAACTAGGATTTGAAGCATGAGCCACCAGAGCCTGGATTTAAGTTAGGATTATAACCTAGATTTGATTATAAACTAAAGTTTGTCTCTATCAGAACAATTTGTTCTCATAAGGTCATCCTGGTCCTGTGTCAGATTTTTAGGCAATTCTATAAGCAAGCTTCATGCCCAACTTTTCAGCACCAAGAAAGAACTCACCAGAAAGAATCATTCTTTTCTACAATAGATGTATAATAGTAGAAGTAGTACTCAGTATCGTTAAGGTAATCTTCGAAAGATGACAGAGTGCTCTGAATAGGTATCTGTTGGGAAACACTGTCAATGTTGTGGCCAATGGAATTCAAGACCGCTTTAACATCTGAAAACGAATGGACATGCGTTAGGCACCTTCTAATATGAAGTACGCATTAGGACCACGTTTATAATAGCATATGATTCTATAGCCAGCATGAAGAAAGCCAAGACCCTCCAAAAGCAATGACTACATAAACCAGCAGGCTGGGAATGCACACTTCAATAAAATAGTGCTGAAATCAAATCTGACTTTTCTTCTTCCACTGTCTTATTATTTTTTAAGTGGATAAGGGGCTAAAATATGAGGTGTGCCTACCATGCACCAGGCATTTTTCCCACGTTACTCTGAACAAAACTTTAAAATACTGAGGCAGACAACTCTTCGCCCAATTTTACTACAGTGATTCTAAGGCCCAAGACTTAGGTATGCACAGATCTCTTTTAGAAAGCACTGGAAATGAGACTGAAGCTAGGGTATATACCTATAAAACCCTATTATGTGAGTTTTTATAGTAACAACAACCTATCACCCAAGAAATGGCATTCAGGGACATGACATAGTAACTGTAGGATCTATCACTTTCTCCTTTTCTTTCTTTCTTTTCCTTCCTTTAACATCCAGCTCTAAGTTCAAGCCCCATGACCCAAATAAATAAATAAATTAGAGCAATATGATTCAAAATAATCTATTTATTTGTGCTGGCCAATTACAGAATTCTTAACAAAGAGAAAAGCAAAACGTCCTCAAATATGTCTCTCACCTGCTACGACCTCTGTGGTTTGGTTTTTTATTGTGTTGGGTATATCCTCCAAGGATCTAGATCCCTAAAAAAATTTGCAAAGTAAGTCCAAGTTAAGTAAGACAGCAGCTGACTAATACTTCGGATAATAAAAGTAGAATAAAAATATTATATTTATCTTACATCTGAAATTACTATAGTGTAGTAATCAATACTATATCCCCATAAGAGAGTATGCTTCTCTTAATTAGATAAATCAGAGACCATGTCAAAAAGTGTTCACCCTAGAGAAAATTCTTGAGAGAGTAACTTCAGATGCACAGATGTGTAGAGAATCCAAATAATGAGTATAGTACATATATGAGGACCTAAAGTGAATTTCTAAAAAAAAGAAATCACTAAATCAAAGTACCAGAAATCATTTGGGACAGTAAAGATGTTTTGTTAGTCTAACCATTTAAGAGGAAAAAATAAAATCCAGTGAAGTTAGTTTATTTTTTAATAATAAAAAAAGAAGCTTTTCAAATGGTAGCCTCACAATTTAAAATCAATCTGTTTGTTCAACATACCCTAGGAAAATTATTCCAGACACATAGTCTGGATATGTATATCTACAGGAATGGTTCTCAATTAGGGGGGGTAATTTTTTTCCTCCAAAGACATGTGTGTATCATGGTTGTGAGATGTTTCTACACAGTTTAAGTGGTGGCTGGTGATGCTAATATCCCACAAAACAAGATGGCAGCACCCAGAAAACTCTGCTCCCCAAATCAGTTACCCAGCACCTTAGCATCCTTAGCACAGAGGCCAGGAAACCCTGATTTGTACACTCCACCATGTGTGGATACAAAGTGGATTTCTGAAAAACAAACAGTATCTCACTTCCTAATGCAATTATTAAATAGGAGATACACATCTCACAGAAGAAGAACAAAAGAGGTCATGAGGTTAAAACAAAACCCAAACCAATCATATGAAGCTCTCTTGCTTTGCAATCTAACTCATGGGAGAGAAATAGATTTTCTAAAGAACTCACCTCCAACCTCCAGCCTTTCCCCCTGGAAGAGGTTTAGTTTGGGTTTCCTTGTCTGTCTCTATAGACACCTGCTCAGGACCCCTGCAGGGCTCACAGATTCACTAAGAGGAATGTTGCCAGCTAGATTCTACTTTAGCCTATGTCAAATGTCATAAAAAAGAAGGTCCACAATTTCACTTCCACTTTGGACTTTAGAATGTCACTTGTCACAGGCCCTGGAAGATGGAAGGGGCTTCACAGGAATAAATTTTACTATTTAACTGATGAAATAACAGTATGCCCAGATCAAGAGTGTCAAATGACTTAGGAAACACCTTGCAGGTATAATAGATATTCAAGTAATAGTAATAGATATTCAAGGTCTTTCTATACCTATGAATAAAGGAATACCATTAAGAATACAGCTATTCTCTTGCTTGCTTTTAGGCCCGAGACACTCTATCGAATCATATTTATAAAGAAATGTCTATTGTGTACTCAGCATCTATTGCTAGGGAATAGATGGCTACTAGGGAAATGGTATTTCAAGCCTGTGCTGCCCTGGTTTGTTGTAGTTTGTTTGTTTTTCTTCCTTGCAGCACTAAGGATTAAACCCAAAGCCTTGTGAATGCTAGGCAAGCACTCCACCTCTTGAGCCATGCTCCAGTCCTGACTTTGCCTTTATGGAGGCTTACAGTCTAATGAGGGGATAGAAGCATTACAGATGGTTATATGTAATTAGAGGAACTTAGGAACTACAATGCTATAAGAATATATTAACATGCATTATTTGCATGCACGGACCTACCGTGAGTACCCTTAACCATGTACAACTCATTATAAGCCAATTAAAAATGTTTTGATCGAATCAGGATGTCATGTAAGGCTTTATTAAGAAGGGTCTACATAGGGTGTGGCTCAGTGATAGAGCACAGGCTTTGTATGCACAAGGCCCTGGGTTCTATTCCCAGTAAACACACACACACACAAGAAGGCAATATATGAAGGTTATTAAATGAAGTGCTAGGAAAAGAAGGAGGGAAAGAGTGTGAGGCAAAGGGCATAGCAGGTGCATAAAAAGAGAGCTAGCCTGACTGACTGGCTGGGTAGAGGGAGTGATGCTAAGTCTCACGATGACTACACTTCTCTCACTCACATACAAGGCCAAGCCCCAGCAACACTGAGGTCTGGGCAATCCCTCTTGCCATTTCCTTCCTCCTTACATACCAGGCTACCCTTTAAATGATACAAATAAACTGCTATGATTTTCCAAAAGAAAAAGTCCCCCAAAATGTACCTGTGTGGCTAGCTTATCCAAATCAGTTTTAAGAATCTCATTCACACGACTAAGTTGCTGATCCACAGACGGGAGCTGAAAACATATAAAATGAAATATAAGGCAAGGTAGTTACCTGCAAAAGTAAACCACATTAAACAACAGAATCATCCTGCAGTCAAGGCCTGGGATGTCAATATTGTAATGCATGAGCTCACTTTCTTTTGAACCATTGAGCTTGTCTGGGGAAAACATGGTTTTCTTCAGAATGGCCCCTACAATCACCAGTATTTAAATGCTTGGTATTAAAACTTTAAATACAGATATAAGAGATTTCAAGTACTGAATATTGTTGAATAAAAGCTGGTGCTGGTGGCTCACACTTATAATCCTAGCTACTCAGGAAGCTGAGATCTGAGGATTGCAGTTCAAAACCAGGCCAGGCAGGAAACTCCACAACAGTCTAATCTCTAACAAAAAGCTAGAAGTGGAACTGTTATTCAAGTGGTAGAGCTCTAGCCTTGAGCAAAAAAGCCAAGCAAGAGCATGAAGTCTTGAGTTCATGCCCCAGCCAGTACTGGTGCACACGCGCGCACACACACACACACACACACACACGCACACGCACATGCACACGCACATGGCTTATTTTTTTTATTCTGTACTTAAACAATACTATAATGATAGAAATAATGATAGAAATAAAAAGGTGGAAAAAGAAGCTAAAGGTATGCAAAGAGTGACCTGTACTGACAACTTTTCAATATGTTTGAAGCTCGGTGAGAATAAAAACCAGCCTGATGAGGCCAGCGGGAAGCCTAGAGCTCTAGCTTGCTCACCTACTCACCTGACCCAACTCAGGGTTGATCTCCAGCTGACTTAGAGATGCCCTGACGCGGTTACAGGTTTCCTGGTCTCGGGCTGAAGAACAGTCGTTGTCGTTGAGTGAGTTCTGGATGTTGTCTTTCACATTGGTCAGGCTGTTGTTAAGCTGGGAACTCCCATTACTCAGGCTCTGCAAGCTGTTTTCCATGTTCTCCAGGGACTCGTGGGTCCTTATGATTGCTGTGGGAAAATGGCCTGCATCAGATCAGGTCACCATCTACAAAGGTAGTCTTGCAGATGAACTTATCAACGACCTTAAACTGTCTCAGGGGGTGCACAGGGCACCATCACGCCCCCAGAAGAGCTCCTCCAACCAGCCCCCCTCTCCTGCATTGTCCCAAAAGCAGGAGCTGAGCACCAGTCCAGGTACATTACCAGAGCAGCGAGTGTGTCATTGTCCTGGAAGAGGTCAGTACAAACAAGACCCTCCCAGGTGCTCTAATCCATATAAGAATTGATGACATCCACAAGCTGCTTCAGAAGACTCCGAGAGCTGGAATTAAATCTAAAGCAGCTGTGGAGGGCATGATTTTAGACTCAGGCAGGCTTAGATATAGATTCTAGATTCACTACTGTGTAACTGGAAGCAGATAACTGAGCCTCTTGGAGCCAATTACCTCATGTTAAAATGCGGAGATCAGATTTTATTATGAAATGTGGGCATTAGAGGCTCCACAACCTAGGAATTTCCAAATAATTGTTGGCCATCCTGATTTCTTGGGGGGAAAGAAGGTAGAAATCCAAGAAGAGACTTAAAGCACTTTAAGCATATAAAGACTTTAAGCACTGGCTTAAAGCCCTAACAATAAAAGGCACAGGATTTAATTAGTTGGTATTGTTCTTTTAAATTTTAAGCAAGTAAGTTTTTCTGGAGTCTTTATCTATAGCAGAACATCAAGCTGGAATTGAATGTTACAAGGGAAAGTGCAAATGCCCTTAAAAACCACACTTTTCCCTAGTTAAATGATTTGGTTTTTTTCCCTTCCCCTCCACAAATTATACCAACATCAAAAACAGGAAAGTATGGGTTGTACTGTGGGGGAGGGACATACAAAGCAACATAGAAATCATCTTATAAATATGATAGAAACAATTGCATGAAAGGAAAAAAAACAAAAAACATTTGAATACTTATCTTGGGGTTCATTCCCCTAACATCAACTTATCTGACCTTTTCTGCTTGACTCAGACATATACTAGTTATTGCAAATAAGAGAAACCATGGGACCTATGTTTCTTTGGGCCTGGCTTACTTCACTTAATATAATTTTTTCCAAGTCTTTTCATTTCCTAACAAATGGGGCAATGTCATTCTTTCTGATGGAGGCATAGAATTCTATTGTGTATATATACCAGGTGGACCCATTGCAACAATGAGATGTACAAGTTGTTATGTAGAAAAAACGAACTTAACAACTTGGTGGGGGGTGGAGGGAGGATCGGTTGGGGGAGGGGAGGAGTATGGGAAGGGGAAACAACGAGGAGGCAAAAATGCTTGATAAGAAATGTACTCGTTATCTTGCCTATGTAATTGTAACTCCTCTGTATGGTATTCTCACAATAAAAACACACACATACACACACTTTTCCTGGCAACACTATGAGACTTGAGCACTGAAACTGCAGCGCCAACAGGCACATTCACGGATGGACAGAAAGGTGGACAGACAGACAGATACACACACACACACACACACTACTGTGTCAGTATCTCACTAGAAGCAGCCAGGAGTCTTGTCGTATTTCTGCTTCTATATTTTTATGGCATCTTTGGTGAACTAGAAGCCATAAAACATCTCTCAAGACTACAGTTTCACCACATGTAAATCACGTAAATGGCAGGGTTGTCTCCCAGAAATTAGAAGTCTGTTCTTCTAGGCTGTGGCCTGACGGGTATGTAGGACAGAGCCTTTAGAAAACAGGATCACCCAAGCTAAACGAGTCAGATCAGGAAGTGCAGTTTTGCGGTTTACCCACACACCTGAGAGGCTTCCAGAATTGGGCTGTGGGATCCCTGGTGTCAAACTCTTATCAACTTACCCACACAGAAAACTCTTAAAATCTTAAAGTCTTTACACTTGATTTCATTCCAGTTCTATCTCCTTTTTTGGTATAAGACCAGGACTTGAACTCAGTATCTGGTGCTTTCACTCATGTCTAATGCTCTGCCAACCCCACCAGTCATATCTTAATAATATCTAGGACTAAGGTAAAACTTAAGACCACATAGGACACTCTATCAGTTTTGTGTTTCTCTCATCTACCTGTCTGCATTCTTAACAAAGCATAAAACCTGGTACCTGGATTATATTAGGTACCCAGTTAATATTTACCATCACCAAATGAGCAACTGGAAACAAGGTACAACCAGAAATACACAGGAGAGTGCATCGGAGTATGCTAAAACACACTTCACACCACACATCTATGGCTTCCTCCCATAAACTTTCCCACTTGGACTTCATGGTAAGTTATTTTAATGCAGGCAATAAAAAACAACAACTAAGAATGCCAGGTGATAAATTGAAGGCCTAGGAAATACCTACCATCCTTCATAGATATGCGAGATTATGGGCAATATTTTGTCTTGTCCCAGGAAGCACTCAGTGGCAATAAAAATCCAAAATGCTTCAAAGCATTTTATGCCTATAAAATATTGATAGGGCTAAAAGTCTGGGAGTAGCTCAGACATGCCCAGATCACAGACACTATGAATCTGAAATAAGTGGAAAAGAGTTTTCAAATTCTTAATTTTAGCTAATTATCATTTTCCCAGCCCAGAGCTCATTTCCTTCATAGTTTCTGATCTGTGGCCTAAATATAATGTGCTTAGAGGAACTATCTGCTTCTGCTCTATGCAACAGCCACAAATCACATAGCATAATAACATATTTTAGGGGAAATAAAAGTTGCTGGAGCAGTTTATTAAGCACATTTGAAGATACTTTGGCCACAACAGAAGTTAAATCAGCCTTGACTTATTCAGGTTACCATTTTCAAAAAGGTAGGCCTTTTCAGTAGACTGAAGGGAAAAATAAAATCCCCTTCAATTATCTTTACTAATTTTACTATTTTTTTTTTTTGCTGGTCCTGGGGCTTGAACTCTGGGTCTGGGGGCTGTCCCTAAATCTTCTTTTGCTCAAGGTTAGCACTCTACCACTTGAGCCACAGTAATATTTCTGGCTTTTTCTGAGTAGTTTATTGGAGATGAGAGTCTCATGGACTTTCCTACCCAAGCTGGCTTTGACTTGTGATCTACAGATCACAGCTTTCAGAGTAGCTAGGATTACAGGTGTGAACCACAGGCACTCAGTTACCTTTATTTATTGATTTTTGTGTAAGTCCTGGGGCTTGAACTCAGGACTCGGGTACTGTCACTGAGCTTTTGTGCTCAAGGCACTAAAAATTAAAAATAAAAAAGTGGCTCTACCACTTGAGTCACAGCTCCACTGTGGCTTTTTGGTGGTTGCTTAGAGGTAAGAGTCGCACAACCTTCCTGCCCAGGGTTGGCATTGAACGTCAATTCTCTGCCTCCTGAGTAGCCAGGATTACAGGTGTGAGCCACTAGCACCTGGTTGTAATTATTCTTTATTTAGAAAGTACTACTATTCAAATATTGAAAGTTGCTGGAACATTGATCAAAGAAGGGTGGAGGGCCATAGACCAAGCACACTGAATCATTCCTGAGCTTTGGGGTGGCCTTGTGTCTACCACATAATCATGAATCTGGAGGGGACAGTAGAGTCAGTGGCTTAAATGTAGTGGCACACAGGCATGCCTGGAACCACCCTGCAGCCACACAAGTTTGAACTCAGATTTCTTGGAGGAAGGTCTTAGGGATGTTGGATCTTCCTGTGGATGGATGCACAGTAGCACCGTATACCCCGCACTCCCTAATGCATCCAGGGTGGTCTGGGGATCATGGCTTTTGTTAGGACAGGGTCTGGACGCCAACTCCACCAGGTCCCAGCTACCCAACTGCAATGGGCCAAAATGTGCTACCCCCTCAAAACACGCCATGAGATCACATTTAGAGGCAGTGCCTTTCAAAGTCCTGAGTGTGGTATCCAAGTCGGACAGGACAGGTGCCTATTTAAGAGATGCTAGAGATGGGGGTCCAGGACATGAGAGGCAAGGACAAAGAAAGCAAGAAAGAAAAGAAGGAACAAAGGAAGGAAAGAAGGAAGGAAGGAAAGAAAGAAGAGAGGAAGGAAGGAAGGAAGGAAGGAAGGAGGGAAGGAAGGAAGGAAGGAAGGAAGGAAGGAAGGGGGGAAGGA